TCACATGGAGGAAAAAGCGGTTTTTTGCTGGTGGACCGAATTTTTTGCTCGACGACCCCCGCCGGAGTTGTCACCATTCGATAGAGAATTAAATTCTGCATCCAGCACAACCAAGTAGGGGGCCAGCACAGACGTAGGGGCGAATCGGGATAGGAGATAATGCAAAAAAGTGATTTTTGGGATTGTATTTGGCCAGAAACCCCTACTTTTTGGACGACAAGGCTATCTAAAACTTATACCATTGGATAGAGCGTAAAATTCTGCATCCAGCACAAGCAAAGAGGTGCACAGAACAGATGCCTGGGCGAATCGGGATTGGAATTACATCTTTTCCGAATTCGTCACATGGAGGAAAAAGCGGTTTTTTGCTGGTGGACCGAATTTTTTCCTCGACGACCCCCGCCGGAGTTGTCACCATTCGATAGAGAATTAAATTCGGCATCCAGCACAACCAAGTAGGGGACCAGCACAGACGTAGGGGCGAATCGGCACAGGAAATACGCGAATCTGGTGCTAACATTACCTACGTCACCTGTTCGTATTTGTTTAATTAAACCTTTTTCTTTACAATGAATAAAAAGTAGTAAAGTAATTATTTGAGTATCTTTTGGAAATTGTGGTTTATTAGCAATTGACCAAGTATAAAGCATTAAAGGAATAATATCATTTAAATGAGATCGAATATATTCTTCAGGATTATTTTGATATGAACTAAGATTAAGAATATTTTGCATTTCTCGATTGATATCAAATTTTTCATCTTCTTCTAATACATTTATTTTCTTAGTTGGGTGTGGGTGAGGGTGCGAATCTTCTCTTCATCTCCAGGCACACATACCAACACCCCACACTCACACACCCACACCCACACCCCACCCCTGGAGGTAAGGGGGGAAATTTTTCTAATCCTAAAATTATCCCGTGCGTTCCTGTCACGATTACTTGGAACCCTCAAAATGCTCCGAACCATACACAAGTTTCTAATTCTGTCTCTATTTGGCGGTAACCTCACCTGGCCGCCTGTAAATGTGCACGTTTCTAATTCTATCTCGATTATATGGCACCCTGTCCTGGACTGATGCCATGTGCATCACCCACAAGTTTCCCCTCATTACCCCCATACCTTCCAGAAATATGGATGTAAAATTTTAGCATAGAAAATTTTACCCCCATTACCCCAATATCTCCTCAGAAACACTTTTGTTTTTTTTTGGATGCTATTAGCATTGAATTCTTTCATTTACTGTGAAGAATATGTATTTTTGTTTTCGGAACTTTATCGAATGATAAATCGAGCAATTTAAATCAACAATTGATTTATTTATTTAAACAAGAAATTGAAAAAAATAAAAGAAATTAAGAAATTGCCAGTGAAAAGAAATTAGTCATATCTTGCTACTATTTGTTCTTGTTCTTATCCTTATTCTTTTATCTTAAAAGTTTTTTATTCCCAAAAGCCAACAACTAGCGTTAACAATGTAACGAGCTGTACCTGCTGAATCCCATTTATACCAGAGTTTCGTAAAACCACAATCTAAACATAACCGCCCTTCTGTTGACGTTGAAGGTGGATCATACACAGCAATACTAGAATTTCCATCGCTAGATGTTGCTATAGTGGTGAATACTTCGCGACTTGCTGCTGTTGAATATACTGGATGACATATGGTAATACCTTCATATAAATTGGTGATTCCAGTAAAAATTTCATGTTCACCAAAATGTCCTGTTTGTTGATGACCATTTTCTTTGTACGTCAATGTTTTATCACCATAATAATCACCCTCAACAGTTATACCAAATTTTGCTTTAAGAAATTCAGATGCATGACATACCAAAGGTGTATTATCAGCAAATAAAAAGATTGCACCAGCAGACGAATGGAATTTTATTAGAGATGAAATAAATTTTGGATTTTGAATTTCATTTGTACTAATAATCCATGCAATTTGATAACAATTTGAAGCAAGTTCTGTTATACATTCGTTCTCTGTTTTAACATGTTTCACTTGAAATCCTTTGATTTTTAGTGCATCAATTGGATGTTGCATGTCAAAATAGCAAAACTGTCCAATTAAAATACTAAAACCCATAAATGCTCCATCCCGACCCAAATCGTATTCTCTTCCTGTTGGATTACCATATCGATCGTATTCATTAGCATCAGTAATATAACTTTTGCCTGCGACCTCATTATATGGTTGCAATGGCGACGAAGTTGTAGATGATGATGTAGGTTGTTTGACTGTGCTTTTCTTCTTTTTAGTATATGTTTTCCTTACAGAATTGGATACAACTGTTCTAGTTCGATTTGCTGATTGCTGTTGACGTGCTCATGCAGAACGCGTAATGGCTACCATTTATCTAATTGATAATGGATTAAACAAGTTAAAATGAATTATGAAATGAAGACCTTCAAAGAGAATGTTTGTAAAAGGTCTATGTGAGAAACGTCAGACAATATAAAAAAAACATATATCCCGATTACGGCACCACTTGATAGTCCTGGACTAGATTGATAAATAATTTATTTTTCAATGAATTCTACAACATACACAAAATAAAGCAACAATTTATATAGTGAGAAAGTCCTGTGGCTATAGTGCAATATGTAATGTCATAATAGTGGTGCAATTATTCTACCATAATATGTGTAATTACACAATATATATGTAATCACCAAATACATGCTAGACGCACCTAGATGCACTTTTGTTGCAAATATCGGTGTTCTGCACATTTCTGAGGCAAACTTTAGTATAACCCCCACCTGTTATATATTTTCCTTATAATTCGGTAAGCCTAAAATATCAAACTGCGAACAAATATTGCGTTGATAAAGGATGACACATACCTCATGCATATATACACATCATGCCCTCAGGCTCCAAACAGACCAAACGAAATAAAACTGAGTTAAGCACTATGATTGGTCCATTCACATTTAAATCATCTTTTTGAGCTGATTTAGTGGATAGTTCAGTTTTATTTCGTTTATTCTGTTGTGGAGCCTGTGGGTGTGATATGTGTATATATGCAAGAGGCGGGTGTCGCCCTCTGTTGTTGCGAGATGTTTTTATTCGTTATCCTCTTTTCCATTCATAAGTAGTGCTCTTCTTTCTTCGATCATTGTCTTCTCGCTATTGTTGATAATAAAGTTGAGACAGAGAATCATTACAATATGGATTTTACGTTTGAATTTGTTCATTTGAAATTTGGGTTGGTTGCTTTTGGTTGGGAAGCAAGTCAAGTGTCGGTTGAGTGGGAGTAAAATCAATGAAAATGTATTAAGTATTAATTTCTATGGTGGGGGGGAGGAGGGAGGGGGCTATACTAACGTTTGCCCCATTTCTGTATATAAATATTGTGGAAACGTATCCACTACTATGTTTTTTTGAATGCAATTAGAGACTACGAATCAGATGCATAGACATGCGTTTAAATTTTCGTTCAAAATATGTTAGCAAACATCTTTATCCTCCAATGAACGTTTTAAAACTTGATTCTAGAAAGTTTCGATCAATTGTGCTTCCTGAAAAGATGGCTTTGGTCAAAAGTTATTATTGCATAGTCACTGGTGTGACACCTTGAGAATTGCAAATATCAAGATACTTTTTGTATATCATAAGGAAACAGCTTTCTTTCAAAAAAAAAGCTAGAAGGTAAAATAATTTTTTTCTATTCTATAATGTGTTCTTGTATCAAAATAATCTGTTTCAATATAAATAATTAAAAGAATAATAACGGGTGTCCCAGAAAGAATGGGTCCATCAGTATTTTGCTGACATCTTTATCAAAACTAATCCGTTTGGGGGTCAATTTTTTTTTAAAGATTCTTCTTTTTATCCTCTACAAGAATCTGTATTTCTTATTTAATTTCAATCTATTGTGCTTTCGATACAAAATGAAAAGTGAAGATCTTCGAAAAGTAGTTTTTCGTAAATACGAAGATGGTGACGGTGTTTGCAAGATCTTTCGCGATTTAAATGGTTCTTTGGGGTTAAATACTATCAAAAGATGGTGTAAGATGGTCCGTGACACTGGCTCCATCCAGCTGTCAACATCTCCAGATGCTCCACGTCTTGCTCGAACCGGTGAAGCAATTGAGAAAGTGAAGCATAAGCTTGATCGAAAGAAAATGGTGACAACTCGATATTTGGCTAAAAAATATGGTATATCCAAATCAAGTGCTCATCGAATATTGACGGAGGATCTTGAACTATATGCCTACAAGATGACAATCGAACCAAAACTTACGGAAATACAAAAGAACAAACGAAAAAAATTCGTTAATTGGATTGGTAATAACTTTCGAAAAGAGGACACGATGCGCATCTTGTTTTCAGATAAAAAAATGTTTGATCTCGACGGCATATATAATTCCCAGAATCACCGTATTTGGGCTGCTAGTCGAGATGAAGTCGACGAACAAGGTGGTACTAAAATGAGACAGAAATTTCCACAAAAAGTCATGGTCTGGCTTGGTGTTTGCTTCAAAGGAGTTACACCATTAGTCATTCATTCTCGACCAAGGAACAGTAGATCATGTTGAATATATCGAGAAAGTTCTTCCAATTGCACTTAAATATGGAAGTGATATTTTTGGAGAACACTGAACATTTCAACAGGACGATGTGAAACCTCATGTCCATCACCTAACACAAAATGGTGTCGGGATCACTTTCCGTCGTTCATAGATAACAGTCATTGGCCACCGAATAGCCCGGATTTAAATCCATTGGACTATTGTATCTGGGATGAATTTGCACAGCGTGTCAACTGGGAGAAAGTAGCATCAAAACCTACACTAATTGATGAATTAAAACGTGCTGTAAAAAAAAATTCGACAAGATGTTGTCTTACAAAGCTGTTCATCTTGGACTGTTCATTTACAGCGTGTTTTAAAAAATAATGGATATTATTTAAAAAAATAAAAAATATGTCATCTTGTAGAGCTTGAAAAGACGAATCTTTTAAAAAAATTGACCCCAAATGGATTAATTTTGATAAAGATATCAGCAAAATACTGATGGGCCCATTCTTTGTGGGACACCCGTTATTTTTCAAACTCATATTAAAAAAAAAAACAAATGAACTTCCTTGGTTGAACAATGCTTAGAGAAATTGTTTATCAAATAATGGACAACTAAAAGCTAAACAAAAAACTTACTAAATTCAACCGTCAAAAATTCTTACTAATCCATGGACGAGATCAATCTTTCGGATTATTTAAAATGATGGAGCATATTCAATGAAATATTTATGATAAAAGGTGGGGAGACGATAAGGACATTTTTATCCTCAAAATGCTTTTCGAAAAAACTAAAAGGCGCTAATTAGTCCTTTATGGGATACAACATACACATACTTTTTTGTGACAGTTCGACATCAACAGTTTTTTGAACCTGTATTCCCCTCCCACGGCACACCTCAAAATGTTTTTTTCCTTTGACCAAATACAGGCCACAATACCCATGAAAAACAAAATTGTAAAATTTTGCGTTTCAACGCAAAGGACACCGTCGGATAAGACCGTAAATACGCCACCCTCCCCACTAGTTTTTGGTCTCAGTCATCTAGAAAGATAGAGCTTGAAATTCTGCATCTTTCTATAGGGTTCCTATTATTTTGAATGAATGTTAAACTAAAATTCTGTAATCTATTTTAGTATCGATGAATACAGCAATTTTCAACAATTTTCATACACACAGTTGTTTTTGTACTCATGCCTGTTTTTGTTTCGTAAACTATATATCCAAACTAATAGCCTAGGTTGATACAGCTTTTGATGCTCTACAAAATAACATAATTTTCATAATTCAAACTAGGCTCTTTCTAGGACAAACAAGACCAACAATATTCGGTGTAATACTCATGTTGCACGCATATTGCGTTTTTATCAACTTTTGTTGAAGCTTGTTATCTGTGAAGATCAAGTTAGTGCCAAATAGATTTATGATAGAAAACTGCGCCGTTTAAAGCTCTACAAATCTATGTAGTTTTGAGAAAAAAAATATTCTCGGCTGAGGTCTCATTTTTTTGAAGAATCATCGAAAACATACCATTTTTAGAATAAAAAAAAATCAATTTTCACCATTTTCATTTATAATCTCATAGTATTCTTAATTTCAATTCTGTATCTGAACTTCAAGTGAATAGACTCTTTTACAGAGAAAATTTCTCTCTTTCTAAACATTATCAAACATAGTTGTTCATCAATATTCTGTAGAGAATCAATTGACAATATTTAGTGTCATTTACTAGGTAAAAATCTTACGACATCTGGTGTCGAAAACATTCAAATATGTTTGTTTCTCATTGGATTAATAGTTTCGAAATCTGGGTATTGTTATGTGAATGATGTGTTCATTAAAGATTTTCACAATATTCAAAGTATCATTTCTATTTTCACTGTTTTTTTCTACCTATTTACATGCCCTCTGTCAAATGTGCTGTTTGTGGCTGTTGGTGTAGTACAGCAGATTGCAAATCTCTATCGTCTCCAACTTATGCCTGGTTTCATTATCATTTACAATCAAAGGGAAAAATATTCAATCTGGATGAGTTGTTTTATTGCAAACGTTGTACTAATGCTCTTTACATCATGAAGAAAGATTTAATTGCTACTTCGAGTTCTTTTTTATCGGAACCATTATCTTCTGACTTGATGGAAGTGGAACAAGACGATGATCGCTTAACCTTAGACAATATATTGTTTACGGGTTCTGGTCATAACAAATGTGTCATATGCCGAATCGAGGTGGCGTCAGGAATGATTGTAATGCCAAATAGCGCTCGACTCGATCTTTTACTCATCCATCGATTATATGCTCCTCATGGGACACGTTGCTGCACTTCTCACCTTATCAATGATCTTCGTCTTCGACCAAATGAATATGTGAACATGAAAGATCGTTTACAGTTTCCAACGATGTTGTCATCTCAAGAAATTCAAGATCTTCTCAATGATATTTTTTCTTTTTTTGATGCATTAAGATCATCGCCTCGACTTGATTTTGATGATCCATCATTAACAAACGAAGACTATGAGGTTTGGACTGGTTGGTATAAAGAAAAATTCGATGAAATGTTTGAAGAACTTTCTGTTTACCTTCGCTTTTCATCTAATCGAACAAGTCGTAATGCATTAGCCATTTTTTGGATTAAAATCAAAACAAACTTGTCCTTTCGGCAGATTGACTCTCTATTTAACATGTATGGGAACTCCAACGCTAGACGGCTACGTGCTGCTGCTGCTTTCAACGCAGTGCGAGAATTATTTATCAAATATTTTGTTCCGAAGCACCTTGGTATAGGGCACATTACAGTCGATGAATCAAAGAGACATAATACAGACTATAGTAAAGTATGTAGATTTATTTTTAGTGATAACCGAAGAAAGAACTTGAATACACATCAATGCGACGATGTATTGCTTGATACTAATTACTGTTGAATCAGAATCGCTTAGATTTCAACTGTCGCCATCAGGGTGACAAATTTGAAAGATTCGATTCTTAAAAGTGAGAAGAGAAACGATTCGTGAAGAATGATGAAATAAAAAAATAGTTATTTATACTCATATCTAAAATATGTTCTTCTCTCAATACAAACTAGTTCTTCCTACTATCTATATTATAATAGGCAAACTTTCTTCAGGAACTTTCATATGATTGGTCACAGAACGAAAAAAAAGTATACATACATATATACATATGAGACGATTGCAAGCCATTTGTACAATTTGAATAAAAAAAAATGGCTAAGCTTATATCTTGCAGAATTCTCAATCAAATTCAACAATTTTATCCGAAAATATCCTTCACATGTGTCACTAGTTTGGCTACTATAATCAGCCCTCTAGCTATTGTCTGTCACTAGAAAGCGCGAAAATGATGTCGTTTTTTCACTTAAATTTCACATGGACATGTCCAACGGCGATAAATTAAACTGATATTTTTTTCTATTGACAAGGCGTTGTAAAAATTCATCTTAATTGATTAGTATCTCCGTAAGATTGACTAGAAAATGTGCTATTTGAGGGTGTGGGTGTGGGTGTGGGTGTGTGGGTGGGTGTGGGTGTGGGTTTTCCTTCTCTCTTGATCATGCCAACACCCACACCCACACCCACACAGAAGATCCCTGTCATTACTTCAACGAATGATATTCTCTTGAATACTTCGACCGTTACCAATTATTATCATGTGATGATTAGTTATACATTGACTGACAAATCCATATGTCGGCGATTGGCCAGTCGTCTGATCAGGGATAATTTTCGTGTATGGTTTGATCCTAATCCGATCGAAAAAGAGTTTAATCGTGTCATACCCAAGGTAATTGGTAATAGCGACTGCATACTTTTGTGTCTTAGCGACACCTATTCTCAAACTTATTGCTGTCAAAAAGAAGCTCGCTATGCATCGGATATGCGCAAAACAATTATTATGGTGACAGTAGCACGTGATTATAAGATGAAAGATTGGGTAAGTTTTATCAAGCCAGGCAAAATTCAGTTTCAACTCTATGATAATGAGTCGAGTTTTAGAATTACTTATGACCAGATCGCACAAGAACTCGTAAGTGTATCGACCAGACAGTAATTTTTTCATTGGTAATTCTATACATTTCTTAGCAACATATAACAAAGTTGGACTCATCCTCCTCCTATCAATCTTTGGAGATGTCAATGCCATCGGGCGCACAATCATCATCTACTAGAGCACGAAAACAAAGACTACAGCATTCTGATATCGTGTTTCAAAAACTAATCGAACGGCCGTGGTGTTTCAACACAACCATGACACAGGGTGCCTATGCGTGGAAAACCATCAATGGCTACATTGGGTCAGCAGTTCGAAGCGATGAGGAAATGAAACGTCGATATGAACTGGATTCGGATCTTTCACTAATGGCTAAACGACGACAACAACTCTCATCATACTTTCATGCTGATAGTCCGGACCATTTTCGTATATTTGCTGAACGAATGAGACAGAACATCATTGACTGGCAAAAATTCTGTAAGAAATGAAATACCAGTTTTAATACTCGCCATTATCGACAGTCTATCTTGTATACTTATCATAAAGAGAAATTATTTTAAAGAACTAATCATGGTTTGTTTTATTTTATGTAGCATGAACTTTCTATATGTTGATAGTATCAGAAGATTGAATCCAGTACGAGGATGCATCTGTTGAAGAACATAGTTCTCAGCTGTCTTCCAAAAGAGGTGACATAGCTATCAAAGAAAAACAAAGGTAGGAAAATCCCAACAATTACATAGTGGAGCTTCAAAAAAGTTCTGCATCGGAATGACCGGGTATACTCTTTTCAGCACGTGAGTGAGGTCAAATCATTTCATTAAAAGCATACAAATAGAATTATTTCCTATCTACTATGATCAGAAAAAATATTCATAATTGTCAAGAGCTTCACCAAATGCAATACTAACAAAAGTATTATGGGATGATAGTCCTAGAATAAATATTTAATTAAATTATAGCAGACTTATGGATAGTAATTAGACTCATAATATGAACTTTTCCTCTAATCTTTATCTATAGGCTATCAACCAATTCAAAGAGGAATCGAACGCATGACTCAATACTCGAATAGTACAGTGCATAATCACACATCAAATAGTATTAATTGTTGTGATCTTGACGAGACAATCGTGGAAATCTTATTTTGATACTTTTTGTCTTCTCAAATTTGTAAATTAGCATTGTCTGCACTAGATATTAGATTTGATAGTAGATCAATGTCACAAATGAGTTTATTGTGACAATAAAACATACTTATGATTCGATTCAAAATCCATCTTGTCAATATGAACTTCTAAATAAATATACAGTAGGAAAGTTTGATAAAAGTAAAATATCAAAAGAATTTCGACTGACATGTAGCATAGCTGAGAGGCAGACTGTTTATTTACGAAGTATTTAACGAGATATAGAATAAAATAAAAAGAACATCCCACTATTCAAAGTGTTTCGTTGATACTTTCAAGTATAAAATATTGTCGTATTGCTCTTGAACATTAGTCCATTTGAAATTTTCTGACTGGAATTGTTTTCAATTATTGTTCTATTACGTATTTATTGATAACTGATGTGTCAGCAGTGATCTTTTTCTCTACAAGCTGAATGCAATATAATTTCAGTGTAAATGTGAGTAAGATGTCACAACTCTATTCTTAGCTACACCCACATGCTAGGATTCGATATATTAGACAATTATCAGTATCTTTTGTATTCAATCGATCGATAGGTTCAGTTAGAAGAAATCTATTGAACATATATTCTATTCTTCAAAAACGTTTTACCTTGAACAAATATAACTGGTACTACTACTAGTGAACATGTTTGTCTTAATTTTTCTTCTATTAATAAACTACTTAATTTATCACATCGTGCTTCATAAATACATGAACTAAATTAAGTAAAACTGCAAAAAGCACTATAAGAATTTATACAACACATTTTCAATGGCACTTATGAAGATAAACACCATCTTTCAGTACATTTGGTAACTCCTCTTTGTTTATTTATTGGTTATTTCAACTATACGATATATTATAAAACCGTAAATATAATGAAAAACTGATCCGTTTTAGTAATAGTTAAATGGATAAAACGTTAATAAAATGAATGTTTACTCATAAAATATACAGGCTTTTACTTCAATATCATATTGAAACTAAAATGAAAGTTGTTAGGTGCTATTCATGCGAAATTTAAATGACTTGCAACATGATGTAGCTGTTGTTGCTTATCATTCAATGATTGTTTTATTCGATCCATTTTGGAATACATTTCTTTATTCTTGTTTATCTAATATTGGAGAATTGCAACAAGAAAGAAGCTTAACTATTATAATGAAATTAGTAATAGATGGAAAAAATTTAAAATGACAAAGTTAAACATAGAGAACAAGACGAGTAATACAAGCTATCTTTTACATATCATGATTTCTTTACTTGAGAAAATTTTATCATAGAAATAATTCCAATTCAATATTATTCAAGCTATTGTATTCGTTTTTCAAGACGTACATTGATGGCTTCAGGTGCAGTTACATTCGTTTCTCGTAGACTCATTCCTTGACGAATCTTTTCACCAGGTAAAATATTATATGTATGTAATAAACATGCCAAAGATATTTTTAGTACCATCACAGCGAATCTCATTCCTACACAATTTCGAGGTCCAACACCAAATGTTAGTAAGGCCGCAGGATGACGTTTTACGACATGACGTTCGGGAATAAAAAGATTAACATCTTCTGGGCCCCAGAGATCGACATTGTGATGAACCGAGTAGACGTCCGGCATAATTATCGTACCTGAACAATGAGAAGTCAGATTAGTTGATGTCTATAGCGTTTTTACTCTCAAACAATAAGTATGAAATGTTTTCCTCACCTTTTTCGATCATATGGCCGCAAACAACCGTTGTTTCATTGCATTCTCGAACTCTTACTCTGCCTGAGAATGAGTACATCCGAAGTACTTCGCGTAAAAATAAATCCATATATGACATATTAGCAATTACATCATAATTGAGTTCCTTTTTGTTGTCTTGCCAATGTTCATCAATTTCTGCTTGTAGTTTTTTGTGAACTTCAGCTTCTGTAGATAAAATATAAGTTGAAAATGCTAACATTGTTGCAGTTGTTGCGAAGCCAGCGACCATGAAAAGAAAAACGTTCATCAATAATTCGGTATAATGCAGATGCTTGGACATCAGTTCGTTATCCTCGTGATCCTATAACAATGATAAATACGGTAACGACTAGATTTTTTTCTTTTACCAACTCTAATTCACCTTGACTTCGTCATCAGTTGCTGCATCCAACATCAGCTGAAGTAAATCTATTTGTTTCTTTCCAGATCTTAATCTTTCTTTAACTACATTTTCGACTTGTTTCATAATCCATACATTAGGCAGATCTTCAGTATTAGACATTAGCCAAGGCATCAGCGTACGAATTATGTCGACAAGAAAGGAACGAGCCTTGACATATTTAGTGAGCAATGGAGTAAGAAACGGCATAACAATGGACAATTTGACGATAAAAAGATTCTCAATCTGAATAGCCACACTAGCTGTTGATTTTTTCATATAAATGTTTTCGACATCGTTTTGCATATCCGTATCGATACCAAATATGCAATGCCCTATATATATATATATATATGTTAGCGTCCAATCTTGGATTCAGTCCAATCTCAGATCCGTCTAGGTCAATCTCGGATCCTCACATTGGGCTAGTCCAATGTCGGATCGAGAAAAAAAATTTCATTAGAACTTCAATTAGTCTGTTGATAGGTGTTGGATTCGAATTCTTTTTATAGAGCTATCTTGGAATAATCGCATCTCAGATATTGGAATAATCAATGAAGAAACTAAGTTAGAACGTAAACACTTATGGATAATTTTTCATGAAAACTGTTCTTCTGTAGAAACTTATGCATAAATTTACAAATTCTACTTTAATTTCTCTGTCGACGATTGCAACATCTAAGGTGCCATTGTTCCAATATGGTTTCCGAAAAAAAATTTCGAACCCAACATCAATCAAAAGACTAATTAGAGTTCTAATGAAATTTTTTTTTCTCCATCTGACATTGGACTAGTCCAATGTGAGAATCCGAGATTGGCCTAGGCGGATCTGAGATTGGACTGAATCCGAGATTAGACGCTAACATATATATATATAAACACATATTTATTGTAGGAGAAATCAGCAATTAAAAATTAGCTCAGTCCTAGGACAGAATAATCGTACTTTCATCTAATTCTATTCAATTTAAGACCATTTTAGAGAAAAACTAAGACAGGTGAGCATTCAAGCTAGGTCATTTATTTTCACTTACAAATAATATCCATGCTTAACCGTCTATATAACACAAATATATCGAATTCTTGGCCATTCATGTCGTCAAGTTTGACCATCATTGATTGGATACATTTGTTTATAAGAGGCATCATCATTTTCAATTTTGCTGCTGAAAATGTTGGATTTATCACATGCCGTTGACGTTTCCATCGATTTCCTTGTGCAGAAAATAGATGTGCTCCTTTTTCTAAGTGGATACGAGAAAGAAAATTCATGGGACGCGAATGAAACGATGAGAATTGTTTTATATAAATTTCTTGCAAAAAATCAACGTCAGATACAATATACACTGGGCTTTTTCCTTCGAAAAGACCGTAAATAGGACCATAAAGACGGGTCCATTCTATGATGGGTGTGAAAGAAAGAGGTGTGCTCCAAATTTTGAGTAAGTTACCAAAGAATAACTGTGCTGGTGGTCCAGGAATATTTCGACGAACGAAATATTTATAATGTGATTTCAAAGTCAACACATATATAACAAGTAGGATGATAAAAGCAACAAACAATATTGTAGTGATAAACATGTTTTATGTTTTACAAATGCGCATTCAGGTAAAAATGCTTTGAGAGAATAACGAATTAAAATAGATTTTCGTTCTTTTCTCTAGACATGAAATCAAATGTACGTCATAAATAGCTGGCCTTCACGTAGCTCCATTACATCTTCTTGGAATATTTGTTTTATGATTCTCTTTTAATCTTCTTTGAGTTTTTTTACCTATTAGAATTTTGTGTTCTTGCCAAATTCTGCATTCAATCATCTAATGAAACATCATATGCATGACTATGATTCATTTATCCCTCGTGGATTGATCTACGACGTTTGATTACCTATCATGACGCTAGCAAAAAAAAAGCACCGTAATAAAATAAAAACAAAAAAATGTGATGAGCGAGCAAAAGGTTTTTTTCTTAAGAACAGCAAAAGATTATTGCAGTTGCGAAATTCAGAATTGTATACACTTGCTTTTTTTTTCTTAGTTCAGGGTGAAACGCACAAGGAATGGCTATAGAGGATTTATTGGTACAGTTTTTAATAGTGTACAAGCGCGGAAAAGATTTAATTCTCTGATAATTGCACAACATGCTTCCAATTAAGAAAATTAGTGAAATATTAAAAGAATTTTTTTGTAAAAAAAGTGTTTAAAATATAAATCAAGGAGAATATGCAGTATCTCAGCAATAAAGTTTTATTTTAGTTTTCATTAAGATGATAAAATAGATGAATCAGCACTAAGACAAAAGCAAAAAATCTAATGTTTTCTTGGAATCACAATTCGTTTTGTTCAAGGGCAATAGCTTCACAATGCATGTGATGAGAACAGCGGCTTTGATGGACAGAGTGTGGGTGTCGGTGTGGGTATTTCCGTGTGAATGTGGAGTGGTATTTGGTTGCAAGAATATCTATCCCAACGCAGCCGCACAGACCAAAACCAATACCTACACATTCACACCAAAGCCAACATCCCCTCACCTCCCACACCCCAGACCACATCCACCCACACCCACACCCATCCACACACACACCCACATCCACCCCACCCTGTCTAGAAAGAGACGTGATGCATGATATTGTCAAATCTTGAGCTGGATCACAATGCCTAGAAACTTTTGAAATCAATTCATAAGGATCTGGATTGATTTGTGTAACGTAGCTTTAGATAGAGTATGTCACAGAATCACTCGAAGTCACTGGAGAAAAAATATTGATGTATTCGATTTTCAGGTGCGGGAATGAGTAAAAAAATGAACTACACTTACAGCCACACTCTACACTCTGGTAACGATTACTCTAATAATAGCAATGACTTGGTGTCTGAAAAATTACAATAAAAAAATTGAAAACTACAAACATGTAATAAGACACATATAGATTAAGTTTCATATTAACCATGAAAATATGTTGTATTGCGCAATAGAACTGTAATCATTCTAACACCATGCACTGGTACATTGATAGCTGTCCAAGTATCCACAAATTCTCCTAAATCTTGATGAAGCCAAAGATCCCGAATGAAAACAGTCCAGATTGGAGTAGGTTGATGAGGGGATAACTTATTACCGAATAACTCCTCAAATTCAAATGTTATATTAGCTGTAATGTTCAATCGATTTAACAGGACAACAGCATGCAAAGGTAAAGGACTAAAATGTAGTGTATTATTCGTATCATAAAAGTGTGACATATTTTCATAATAAACGGGTTTTGACCAGATTTCGTATGATCCGTCAAATGCTCGTCGAATCATATTACCTGATCGACCTAATTTGTCTTGATTGATTGCAATCACTTCTTTATTCGTTAGAATATTTGCAATTTCCATTTTCATTATTCTTAAATCATTTCCCGCAATTAAAGGTGAACTCATTATAGCCCAAAGAGAAAATTGTGAAGTATATTCTTCTATTGTTTGTTTACCTAAACCAATTGTTAATATATCTAAATCATTCCAATACCCTGGTTGAGAAGCATAATAGATATTTGCTGCATGATCTGAAATACTTAATGTTGACTCCCATTCATCATCAATATCCCCCCAAATTCGAGCCATATTACAATATTCAGGAGCCCATTGAAATGGAAATTCGAAATTGTTCTCATTCAATAATAATTCATCCGTGTCACAACTAAAAACAATTGAACGATTTTGTATTGATAATGCTTTTGACCAAGTTATATAAGCAGTAGCTCGATCTTTAATATTATCTTGATAACAACAATCTAATTTTAAAAAATCGACATTCCAACTAGAGAATAATGCTGCATCAAGATATTCATGTTGCCAAGACCCAGGATATTTTTTACATGTCCTTTCACCAGAACTTGTATAAATTCCAAATAATAAACCTTTCGAATGAATATAATCAGATAAAGCTAACATACCATGAGGAAATTTTGTCTCATTATACCTTAACATTCCACTTATTGGATCACGATAAGAAGCTTCCCAACAATCATCAATATTCAAATACTTATATCCCGCTGATAACATTCCATTGTCAACTAACATATCAGCTATTTCCATGATGTCTACTTCAGTGTAATCACAATGAAAAACATTCCAAGTAGACCAGCCCATAGGTGGAGTTAAAGCTAAGCCATTGTTCAGACTTGATATGAGAAGTGAATTTATCAATAATAACAGCAAGATGATAAATAACATGACTGACTTTCAAATATATAGTTCTGAAAGGTAACTTTTTTTTTCAGTGATAACGCTAATTGTTTTATTTTGATTTTAGCCTTATTAATTGTATTACGTTTGAAAAGAAATGAAAAAAAAGATTGAGTGGATTTCTAGATGTCGGCCTGGGGACTGTTATTAACCATCCACCCATCCAACAATTATCCAGAGTAATGGTGCTTAGTAAGCTTTTTCAAGCATATGTAGAATTGTCTAATAATTTTAATTTTTCGCGTATCTTTTCCTCGCTAGCATAACAATTATATTCAAGCGATGATCAAGGGTCAGGGTTGCTAGACGGTTCAAATTTCGACATATTTTCTGAACGCTTTTCGAATTTCAAATTTCTTGTATTTCTCGAATTCTTTTGCAAAGTGCGATACTTTCCTAGTCTATAAGTTTGATTACAACGTATAAAGTAATTTTTACTGAAAGATAATGTACCATGTGCGTTCTTGTATATGAGTTTCACACTATTAAAGAAACGTGTTTGTATGAAATATGGTTCTTGGAAAAAAATGACTATGATGCTGTTCTTATTCTGGTTGAACTGTGTGTGAATAAGTAAATGCTGATAGAATAAAACTTATTTGAATAATAAAAAATGATAGTTTATGCATATCTTGAAACAATAGTACATGAAAAGCAGTATTTTCAGAAGAATAAAAATAGACTGTAAACTTTTTGCATAGACCGTAATTCGTTAAACTTCTCTTTCATATTAATGTAATTCTGTTCTCAAGAATCATTTGGAAAAATGTTTAAGTGATACATACCTTATTTCACTTCACTGTAAAAGGTAACTGGTCCTGTTTACTATGTTAATTTAGCTTTTCTTATCAACAGAAGCAGCAACAAAGTTTTATCAATACGCACATCTTGGTTTCACAAATATAACTATTATTATTGATAAGACCTCGATCTTCACATATTTCAAGTAAAAAAGTATATCTCCAACACACAGAAGACCAAAGGTGAATTTGCATCGGACGTAGGTGTGAATAGCTATTCAATTTATATCCACATGCACACCCTTGTGAATAATTAATATTATGAAGTTCTTATGTGAAACCATCAGGTAATACGATAAAGAATTTTGTGTATTCAAATTTATTGTTGATGTTTCTTTGTCAAAGATAGCATCTGATAATCAAACTAAATCAGTTGTCAGATATGTACATTCATCGAATGTCAATGTTTCAAGACAATATTGGCCATGTATTCATGTGAATATGCCATTGATATTTTTAAGAAGTTTTTGCTTCTATCCTCCACCAAATCGTGCAACGGCAAATGTTGTTTCTAATTTATGTAATAATTTCATGAAAATAACAAGACATTCATAAATGGTATTTTAATGCATTGACATTAAACCAAAATTATCTGTAAAAACACAAGGACGAGTATTGTTTTCTTTAAATGTTCTTGAAAAATTTTCGACCGATACTCATTGTTAAATTACATACGTAACAATTATCTACTTTGTTTGATAATTTTTACAATCTGGTTTTATGATAAGTGAAGCCAGCTATTGAACACAATTTACAGCATTCGAAATTTGTCATCGTTCTCTGTCATTCGATGTCATATTATTTTTTTTTGTTGAATTTGATGTAAATCATCCATTCGTTTACCATTACCATCTGCAATACTATTTGTTCATTTTTTTTCAATAATGATGCTTCATTCGATTTGTCGATCGTTTTATTATCATTACATTTCTTTGATTGTGACTTGAAATCATGTGGAATTCGACTAACATTGACTTGTAATGACTGCAAATATTGTTGAACATCTTCAAAATTACCAAGTACTAATGAAAGTAAACAATTTTCAAGTCATACTCAATCTCATAAAATGAAACGAATATCTATTAGTTTAAATATCAACTCAAGTAATTGTTTTGATAACGACTAATTTGGCTAAAATAGGTAGACCTTGTTGAACAATGCTATAGGGCAGACGCGAATCAGTTTGATGAGAATCCAATATGCAACAAACGAGAATATTTGTTTTTATGAATATATTGTATCAACGATCGACCTATTCGTGAAGAGTCAAATGTGGGTGTGGGTGTGAATGGGTATGAATATGGGAGTTTTATTGATTGGACACTCACACCCACACCCATGTATTTTGATAGCACCGAGTCTCCTCTTTCCAAAGGTGAAAATCGCCGCTCTCTATGTTGTTCTTATCAAGAGTTATTCAATTTACAGTCAGATGCATTCAATTTTGAATCGGATAGTAGTAGTTATTAAGTATCAGAAGAAAATGAAAAAAGCCTTAAGATAATGAAACAAACGGCAGTCAAACATTTTTCTTCCTCTCAAATGCAAGAACGAAGCAAACAAATATATGAAAGCATGTAATAAAGAAAAAAGTACTTTTTTCACTTTAACGCGACATGCAAATGATATCAGACATTTACGGCATGTTTTCGATTCTTCAACTTTTTCTGCTTTTTTTTTCATCACTACTCTTTCACATTAGTACTACGAGCCCAAATATTAGTTCTACAAGTGATTATGTCCCATATGAGGGTGTCGTTTCAAACGTTCTGGTGCACTTTGGGCCTAAACTTGGTAAATGTCTCGTATGGATCTCTACATTATACCAAATGTTATATCTATACCTCCAAGCTACTTCACCAGCTTCAATTTCAACATTTTTTCCTGCAACTTTAACGTCCATCAATCCTTTGTCTCTGACAGCTACTTCAGTACTTGGATACATCTTTATGATCGTTGGCGGTTTAGGAAGAGTTTGGTGCTACAGAACGCTAGGAAGGTTTTTCACTTTTCAACTTACTATTCGTAATTCTCATAAGCTAATCAAGACTGGTCCATATGCTTATGTACGCCACCCGTCGTATACATTTGCACTTATCTTGACCATTGGCGTGCTTCTTGTGCATCGACGCATGGCAAATTTTCTTCCGAATACGAGATGGATACAGATTCAATTTAGTCCCATAGGACTTTTAGCAAGTTGTGCGGTACCGATACTGTTTATCAAAAAACGTGTCACTCATGAGGAAGAAGAATTAACAAAAAAGTTTGGCAAAGAATGGATTGAATATGTATCAAAGACAAATAAATTTATACCTAGATTGATCTAATGAACATACATCTCCCGATACAGCTATATGTCGAAATATACGCATCATAAGCAGGATCAATAATTCTTTTTTTTTTCAGGTATAAGTGGGTGTGGGTTTGGCTCGATTTCTACTGGTCATTGTCACTCCCATTCACACTCACGCCAGTATAAGTTTGCAAATTATATCTTCTCCTTGATTCCTCCTAATAAAATGTGTTGCATTTTATATCTGAATTGTTTTGTTGTAAGAAAAGAAATGAATTCAATTGAAGAAATGTTTGCGCTTTATAATTTACAAATGTTTAGTTTATCTTCAACACTAAAACAAAAAGTACTCTTAGATATGAGATAAACTCAACAAAATAGATGATCTGGATATTCTCACGACTGAAATGAAGTAAAACTTCTTTAAAGAGTTTCTTTAATGAGTGATAGAGAAAGCCTGCTTTCATGAAAAACTGTTAAAATGTTAAGTCTTGTTTAATTAAATTGAATATTGTTAAATACAAAATAAATTCCTATTGAATTCTCTTCTTTTTCTTTCAATCATATCTTATAAAATGAAATAAAAACTCATACAATTCAAAGAAATAGATAGATCAATTTGAGAGTATTAAAACTGTTTTATTTTACTTAAAAATCAAAGCAATATTGAATTAAATCTTATTTATATTTATTATTGAATGGAGTTTTAATATACAATGATGATTTATTGTTGAGGAGAGATTTTCAACATTGAAATGCATTTCAGAAGATTTTTCTTGTTGCAAAGAATTCAATTTAAATTGCGATGACAGGTGACGATTTGTTTTACAGAAAAAGCAAAGTGATTCGTCCAATATGTATTGTTAATGTTCAAAAATATTTTGAAAATGCGAAAACAATTGAAGAACAACAAAAACGAATAAAATATTAAATAAAATATGTGTCAAAAGTAAACAATTTTGCAAACATTTCTTTGCCTTGAGTAATATTCTCAAGAGAAAAAAAAGAACTTTTGAAAAAGATAAATCTCCTTGAAAGTCGAAGGCTAAAAATTTTGCTTGTAGTGCGAATTGTTTTAGTTTTAAATAAAAAGTTTCATGACAAGTCACTCGATCATAAGGAGTCGATATTTTAACTTGTTAAGATTATGCAGAAAGAATATATTGAGTGATCATGAAATATATAAAGATAAGTCTCGTGGAAGTCGGATAAGAACATAAGCGAAATTTCGAAAACTTCTCACAGATACCGACGTACAAAAGTCAGTAAACTTTTTATGAACTTAAAAATCAAATTTTTCAATTAGAAGTTTGGATTTTTCTCATGACTCGTTTTCCATCATACGCGATCGAGTGGTCAATTTTACGACTGGAAAATACTACTTTTGACGAGATATTGACATCGGAAAATAGAGATAATCCTCGTTTTGTAGATTTGAAATTTAAAAAAAGATAAGGAATGAATTTCTTAGTTTTGGTCTGAAATTTAGATTAAAACAGTATAAGTCTGATGAATACAATTAATTATAAATCATAGACTATCACGATATATATGTGTAGTGAGCGAATATGTTATTATATAGAAATTTACGTTTGAGACATGTCAAGTTTATCAAAAAGGATGATACGATCGTATTATAGGTGTGAAATATCAAATCAAAACATTTCCAAGTGAACTTATAATAGAGGGTGTGGGTGTGGATGTGTGTTGTTCTTCTTCAATCCCCCACCCCTAGCCAGACCCGTAACCCACGC